CATGATGCATTACAAAACTTATAATTGAAAAGAAAAAAAAAAAAACCACACCAACATCTGATGCTTTTCTGACAGGATAAACACGAAGTCTGCAAACACTGATCAGAATAAGGGAGAGGTACTAACTTAATGCTACTTGTGTTAAAATATGATTGCAAATGAAGCAGGGGAAGAAACAAGAGTTAGAAACAATTTCAAACTGATGCAAAAGCATCCATTGAAACCCCCAAAATTTACACTGGGCTAACAAGAAAAGAAAAAAATTACACAAAACATCGTTTTTAAAGGAGATGACTGAACCTGTCTATACTTCCTTACGGCTGCATTATCTATGCCAATTAAAATTTTGGTTCTGAAAAAAGAGTTAAGGCACTTCCTCTAGAGTTACTAAAAAAAGCAAATGAAAGCCTTGGCTGCGCAGAGGTGAGCGATAGTGAGCCGTTTGTTCTTGACCTCTGGATCACCCTACAGATCAAATTCTTGGACATAGGAAAAACCCACTAGTATTCATTAAAAGCAACTGGGAGGCCAGCTTTGTGCTTCTGTTCTCGAGACCTGAACGAGCTACAACTTGACAAATGCGCAGGATATTGCTGAACAATGCTGCTGTTCCTGTCGGGAGGGAAGAGCTTTATTCCCAGCTTCATTCAGGACGAACTGATTTTCATCACAATGATGCAAATCGCAGATTTCAGTCATTATTTAAATAACCAATTTTAATCTTTTACGTTTGTGCTTTTCAGTTATTTCCATCAAGTTGATTCCGTTAACCATTAACATGCATTGATTCGTATCAAATTAGCTTTTATATTAAACGTTTTTTTTCCCTCAAAAAGATTCATCCAGATATAGTTATCTAAACAAATATATAAGCTGAAAGTCTTGGGTCCTGACTTTTACTTTTTGCTCTGCTAGATATCGGTGGAATTTGCCCATATATTTTAATAGCTAAAAATAATGTAAATGATTGCTTTATTAGATTATTTTATACTTACTGCTTGTAACATTTTTTGTGGAATTTTTATGGAGAACAGAATTTACAATCCATAAATAAGCTTATTGCCTCGTTATTCATGAAATTAACTACCATAAATTTCTAGGCACACAAACTAAAGTTTATCAGAACACTTTTTAACTTCAACTATTTTTTGCCTTTCAAGCAAACCAAAAAAGCTACCTGTAGAGCTGAACGGCAGAACAAAATAAACCAGAGAAAAATATTCTCCCTGAACAATTGTTTCTGTCAAAACGTGGTTTAAACAAATTCTGGCTCCAGTTAACTGCAGTTCTCTGGTGGTTTGAATGCTTTTAAAGCTTCATTAGAAAACAGACATTGCTAGAATATTTGTATTCAAACGTCTGTAGCATACTATAGTAAATTCAGTCCTTAGTGTGATGAGATGAACAATCTCAAATATAATTTAAAAAAACACACGTGTTTTAAAATCACAACATTTGAATTTAAATAAAACTTATACATATTCAGCACCTGAAGCTGCAGTAAAAACAGACTGTTTCTCCTTACCCTTTTACAGATACATCAATATGAGTTACGCTTGTGTATACTTCACAAAGGGAGTTTTAAGGTTTAAAAATTCATATATCCATTATTGTTTGCATTTTTTGGTCCTGTTCAATAAGTAGCCTCAATCTCAAATTTCCAAAGGAGAAAATGTTTCCATTGAATCTTTAAGAGTTTTGACTGCATAAACTATCAGTTATTTCCCCACCAAACAAGGCAGGTTCATAGGGCAAAGTCAGAAGGAATAGAAAGGAGGGAAATGGTTTTGTGGATTATTATCTATAGACCAAATGGAAATCCTCAGCCGTTTTGCTCCTTCAAGGTACATCAAAGAATCTCCTCTTTCAGGTGTGAAAATGTCCCTTACATTGTCCACCTGTGAAAAAGAGCAGAGCTCCGACCACGATTCTTGTTCCCCCCTTGCTCTTTTCTCTTTGAGGGGCTGATACTTTTGTTTTCAACTCCCCTCCAGCTAATGCCATTTAATACTCTCAGAACCATCAGGCTAAATTCAAATTTTCTGCTCCTTAGAGGCTGTTGATATGCACCACCGCACATTCCAATTGCAAATACACATGAATGCTCCCGTGTATTGTAAGTTATTTTCTACATACAAATTCTACTAAATCGTAAGTTAGGAGGCACTACTTGAATTCTCTTAGGTCTTTAGAAAGCTTTCAGACGTACCATGAGTAATAACATGTAATGAATATGGACTGATATTTCTTTTCTGTAGTTACACTGAGTTGGCAATTTACATTTTCTAAATAGATAACTTATAGTCAGTTTTCCCAGTATTCTGGCAATTACTTCTTAGAAACCCCTGACAGGCTGAAACCTCCAGAATCACAGCTGTTATTCTTGGTTTGATCCCTCTTTTTAAATTAAAACCAGTAGCCTTATCAGCAAATGAGAATTTTTTTTCCCCTCTGGAAATACTTACAAAAATGCACATAAATTGAACATGCCGACTTATCTCATTTTAGGGTTGGAGCATCTTCTGGGTTAATGACTAGTGTTCCACTTCTGTGACAGAACTAATTGGGGTAAGGAGGCCATAAATACACACAAAACCCCCACAATTTCTCTTCCTTTGGGGTAATCCAAAGATTTATAGCAGTAGAGTGCAATGCGATTGGAGGGGAAGGAGAAAAAAATTAAGAAGTGCTAACAGGCTTGCCTGATCATTCTGTCTCCATTTCCAGACACAGAACAGATTTGAAACAGATTTTTCTAGTATCTGATGTGACTTTTCCTTCCACTCCAAGATCAACTAAAATGCAGGAAACTAGCTGAATTTTCACATTTTCCAGGAACTGTCATTAAAGAGAAAGAGAGAAAGACCACACCGCATCTCAATGCTTCAAGCACAGACTAGCTGATCTAAAAAGCTGTATTCAAAATGATAGCCTCAACTCCACATCAACAGTTGCTCAAAACATGCTTTGGCAACAGTTTTTCACAGCTGAACACCAATGAAACATCCTTCAAGGGAGAGGAGAAGTCTGCACTTGGAGCTCAGAGTGCCTTTCTAGCAGTCTAGCTTTATTGCCCGTTGATCGCTAACTGGAAAAATCTAGTTATCAACAGGTTATAGGGAGGACTAACTAAGATTTCTCTTCCCTGACTAGGTCAGAATACATACGCCGTTCAGTTGTTAGGGTTAAAACAATTCAGTTCCTTGATGTGGTGTCCCTTAATGTTTCAGAACAAACATTCTAAATCCACGTGTATACCTGCAAAGTGAAAGAACTGTGAAATGCAGCTGGAGACACAAGGATAAAACATTGCCTTTATGGATTCGGGAAGCAAAAGAGGGGAAAACAGATCACTGCATTTGGCCAGTACATATAAATGTAAATGTAAAGGCATACAACACAGTTTTCCATTTCAGAATACCAAGCTCTCTCTTCCCCAGACTTGGATTCTGTGTTCTCCAGATCTCTCCACCAGGTCTGTGGTAGCAGAGTTCCGGTAACTCTGCCACAAATAAATTTGAAAAGATGCCTACACTTTGTAATCATTGGATGCCTGCAGAATACAAGCCCCCTGAGTCTGAGACACACACATGAAAGAAGCTGAACACAATCTTAATCTTAGCAGCTAACCTTCCAGCTCACGCAGCTGCTCACCTTGCAGCAAGTCTCAAATCCACCTCACACCACCCAAGGCGCCTTTATGTCCCCTGTTGTCTTCTGTGTTATACGCTGCTATACTAAAACAACTACTTTGAAATGTCCTTAAGAGATGATTCCTAACATGAATTAAGATCATTTTTCCCAATTAGGTGATACTGCAGGATTTAGAGTTGTGGGGTTTTTTTAGCTAAGCAATGTCAGGCTGATATAAACTGCTAGCTAAAGGCTACGACTTAAATTAAAAAAATCAGTAGCTTAAGTCAAAAACGTGAGATACAGAGCTAGATCACAGTTTTCTAGCCAGCACGGATGTACGCATGTGACAAAAATAAAGCATTGTCAGAAGCATCAATGTGTGTGTTGTATGAATCACCGAGGCCTGGGGGCCAAGTGAACAGTCAATAGAGATGAGATGAAGGGGAAAATTTCTAATGTCTGCATAGGTTTGCCCCATTCTTTGGTTCAATCCCTGCCATTCCCCCTTCCTCTTCTACTTTCACCTTTAAAGCAAGCCTGACATCAAAAATCTAAGTTCTAAGCTTATAATAAACCCTTCTTATAGGTGTGCATAAATTAGCATCTAAGTACTTGAGCTGACAATTGAGAATGCCAAGCAGCATAACGATTATCACCATCACTGAAGTTCAGGTTTCTGGTAGAGCCTCAAAGGACCGCGGCTCTCGTTAGTATGAGAATTTAAAACAAGTGCTCCCCAAGATTCCACACAGAGGTATCAGGCATCACAATTAAACAACATGTAGAAAACACAAGGAAGAGTCTCCTTAGTACAAAACTGGGCAACAATTTTTCCTGCATATTCTTGGCACAGGGGTGGAATGAGATCAAAACTGGCTTGAAATTTTGTTATCGCCACTTTACAAGCGGAAGACAAAAATTCCCAGAACTAATCAGAAATAATGCTTAAAGCACCTGCTGCCTTGAACCTTGTGTTGCATGGGTGTTAAATGCTACCACATTAATCTATTAGCACAGCAGACATAGACACCTAAACAGCATACAATATAATGGAGTTTCCTTCCCTATTACATACTAAGATGCCACTGCAGGTAATTCACGAGCACAGAGTGGATATTGAGGCCACGATTTTTTAAGTGCATTCAGCAGGCAGAACAGAAATTATGACAATTCTTTTTCTCGTATTTCACACACATGGCTAAATATAGCCTGTTTATTCACAAAAAACGTGGCAATTGTTTCAGAGTGGTTTACAGCTAAGTTTGATACAGGGCAACGCA